GAGGCTTTATCAGCGAATGTTAAAGGTAGCTGGTAGTGACGGTGAAAGAAATGCGTTGGAACAACTGAGAGACAACACTCTAAAGGAGAGGTTTACACGTGGTGCAAGAGAGAAGTGGGTACAGATGGAATTAAGAAGGATAGAAATGTCATGTAAAGACAAATCATTTCAGAACATGCGAGAGGACGCATTGGAATTTTTCCAACTTCAAGAAAACCAGCCAAAGGCAAAGGTGCAAGTTAATGAAGTAACTAATGAATCGAAGAATGCAGAAGTAGAAGCACTGAAAGAAGAGATAAGATCGATTAAAGAGCAACTCAGCAGAAAAAATGAGCGGAGAAGCGAAAGTATGACTTGCTATAAATGCTTGGAGAAAGGGCACCATAATAGAGATTGCAAGAGTAGAGTTAGATGCTTGAACTGTAAAGAACTTGGACATATCAAGAGGGAGTGTCCAGCTCTTGTAAAGAGTCAAGGCAGCAACAGGAGGCTGGCAAAGGACACAGTTGCAGTAGAAAGTGTAATATGTGACGGAAGTAGCGAAATGCAAAAGTTAATCGCAAGTAGTCCATCAGCTACAATCAACCTACTTGGAGTCGATATAGGCTGTATTTTAGATACAGGAGCTGAAACGTCGCTGATCCCGAATGAAATTTATGAGACACATCTTAAACCAAGACTTGTAGGGAAGTCTCCAGAGGGTATATACTACCGATTGTAGGAGCGAATGGAAAACCTATTGATGTTGTTGGGTACGTCGAGCTCCCATTGAAGTATGGTAGTGATGTTGTAAATGCAAGTTTTCTTGTGACAAAAGACTGCTCGGGTAAGCGAAGAGAAAGTCATCCGATTCTCTTGGTTCCAACAACCTACGTCTCTTAAAGCAATTTAATGTTCCTGTGAAAGATGGTTTTGCATGGCAGTTTGTCCAAAGGTTATTAGCAGATGAACCAACTGAGAAGAAACAAAGTATCTCATCCGAAGTTGCTGAACTGAAAGTTGCGGACAATGTTACCCTACCGGCATGCAGCGTAAGACGTGTTACTTGTAGTGTAGGTGAGCTGAAGGGTGATTTCATGGTGAGTCCAGTAGCAGTTAAAAGTGGTTTAGAAGTGGTGGAAGGTTGCGAAACCGTAGGAAATGGTGTTGTCCAAATAATGGTTGCTAATCCTAAGAAAAAGTCTATTAATTTGTAAAGTGATTCAACAATAGGATCTGTAACAACTGTGGACCAACAAAGCAGAGTGGTACTGAAAGAAGGGGAAGACTCGAGTCTGGAAATTTGCGTTAATGAAGTGCTAAAGGTCTCAGGTGATGTAGGTAAAGTAGTGGAACCAGGTATGCAGGACGAAAGATTAAAGTTTGTTCAAGATGTTAAACCAGTTCCTGGACTTGATTTAAGTCACTTAAATGAAGAAGACAAGCATAGAGTCACTGATTGCATCACAAAGTATCCAGAAGCATTTTCTATGAGTGTATATGATGTCGGAGAGTGCGAAGTTATTCCACATAATATCTCTTTAACATCAGATAAGGCTATCAAGCTTCCATTTCGGAGGATTCACCCACAAAGAGTTCCTGAAGTTAAGAAAATGATACAGGAAATGGTTGACCAGAAAATTATACGCCCATCAAAGAGTCCGTATGCTAGTCCCGTCGTCTTGGTAACGAAGAAAGATGGATCCTTGAGACTGGTAATAGATTATAGGAAGCTAAACTCTATGACTATTAAAGATTCTTTCCCTTTATCTAGGATAGAAGAAGTGTTGGACCTGTTGGGAGGAGCTAGGTTTTTCTCGGCTCTAGAACTCGCCCATGGATATCATCAGATAACTCTAGAAGACACGTCAATAGAGAAGACTGCATTTAGTGTCCCATGGGGTCTGTATGAGTATTTACGTATGCCGCAATGTTTAAGCAATGCTGCTAGTACAATGCAGAGAGTCATGATTTTTATATTTTCCAACATGAATATGGTGGATCTAGTGCTATATCTCGATGATATATTGATATTCTCAACCACAGTGGAAGAGCATTAATTTTTGGAGAAAATAGAGAAGGTGCTAAGCAGGTTAAGTAAGTTTGGATTAAAACTCAAGGGGAAGAAATGTAAATTCCTTGTTCCAGAAGTAGAGTATCTTGGACACATTGTCAGTAGTGAAGGTGTACGAGTGACCTCGGACAAAGTCAAGACAGTAGAAGAGTGGCCAGTACCCACATCAGGCAATGAAGTGCGTTCTTTCCTTGGATTAGTATCATACTATAGAAGATTTGTACCAAGGTTTTCAAGAATTGCTGCGCCACTTCATGCTCTTGTGAATTAAAGTAAAGATACAGCCAACAAACAAGCGGGGAAGTTTGTCTGGCCGGAAGAAGCAGCTGAATCATTTGCAAAACTGAAGCAGTCTTTATGCACCACTCCAGTACTTGCTTTTCCAGATTTTGAGTTACCTTACTTTTTGAGATTTTTAGTCAAAATAGCCCAATTGAGCTCGAATTGACCAGGAATGATCCTTAGGACCTTCTAAACATGAAAAACTACTCTTCATCTATAGGTAAAAATTCACAAGGGTCACTATAGTGAAAATTATCAAGTATTTCTAGTGACTAACGATTGAACCAATTGCATTAGACAAACTTCTACCAAACATGGGGTGTTCACAGGTTGAGATTAAAGGTCACAGTGGTTATCTCTTAAAAAATGACTGGGTTCATGTTCTATTGAACATAGTATCTCTAGTTATTATATGTGTATGATGCAACACTTTTAACAATGGCATAATTCATTATAACAGGCATCGTCATATATATGTGACGGACCGTAGGCCTACTATATGAAAAAAATACGCCTATGTAAGAATTGTAGAAAGAATAAAAAATAAATGAAAAATAATTATGCACACGAAAAAAGCAAGCAGATTAGACTTATAATACTGTAGGTTTAAAAAAAAATGAGAAGCGATAAAAAAAAAATACACGAAGTACCAGAAAATGCAGTACCATATATGAAATATAAAAAGTGATATAAATGTGAATATCAAATAAAAAGAGTATAAATATCTTTTTACATGTATATGTTGTGAATACGTGGAAAATAGTACTTGGCCACTCGAAAGGTAAAATGTACTAATGTATGGTATGCTAGAGAATTCTAGTGGGAAATCTATCAATCAGCCTACAGTCACTGCGTTTTATAAAGTTAAATACCGTATTTATTCAAATAAACGGCGAGGAGTTACTAATTTGCTACATGCATGCACTTGCGAATTAAAGTTGAATAAAATGTGAACGTATAAATAGGTCTACAGGTATATGGCGGTTGACACGTATGATACAAAATGATAAACAAACAAATAATTATGTTAAAAATCAATGCTCATGGATAGAATAAAAATAAATTGATTTTGTAAATTTTATAAGCTTCAATTAAAAGTAATGTAAATAGGCCTACCACGCAAATCTTTAACGTAATGTAAACTCCTTTAAAACAGCTCATGCTGAGTAGCTATACATTCATCTTGAGTTAATAAGTCTTGTTGAAATTTAGTATTTGTTTAGTAGATAAATTGTCTATTAATTAAAAGTTAATGAACCTTTAAAACAGTTGTTCATTTGATTTTATTTTGAATAATTAATGTGTGAGAAATATTTAAAATGACTTATTAAGAATCAACAGGATCTTACAGTAACTGTAAATTCATTCTAAAATATTTGGAATAAAACAGTCTGTGAGTTTGATCGCAAGTTGAAGTAATATGAAGTCGTATGCTACAATTAAAACACTGTGAAATACTGTGCTACCCATTTGAAAAATGTGTTACCCATTTTAAACACAGTGCTACCCCATTTGAAATAATGTGCTACCCATTTGAAACATTGTGCTACCCATTTGAAACACAGTGTTATCTATTTAAAACACTCATGGACTACCGTAGCTTTCGTGATACCATGGAGGCATGGTGATACAATGTAAAATGACACAACAACGCTTAATTTAGGCCTACTTACTGTTTGGTAGACAAATTATATGACATTGGCAAATCTATGTATCCTGTTGCTGTGTATTGCTTTGGTATATACAAGTAAATAAGAATATAAATTAGAGAAATAAGCACGATAATCGTAAGTTTCTTCCGTAGCATCATTATTTCACGTTTTCTTGTTCGAAGTGTCTATGCTTACGCCGAATCGTAAGCATTAATCATAGGCTATGCTTACGCCGATTTATTTGAAGGGCGCCGCTTGCTTCGTGAGTACGAAAACGTCTTATTGAGCATGTGCAAATAGACCTATTTATGTGCTGTCTCTTATACACATCTAGATGTGTATAAGAGACAGATTTTAAACACAGTGCTACCCCATTTGAAATAATGTGCTACCCATTTGAAACATTGTGCTACCCATTTGAAACACAGTGTTATCTATTTAAAACACTCATGGACTACCGTAGCTTTCGTGATACCATGGAGGCATGGTGATACAATGTAAAATGACACAATAACGCTTAATTTAGGCCTACTTACTGTTTGGTAGACAAATTATATGACATCGGCAAATCTATGTATCCTGTTGCTGTGTATTGCTTTGTTATATACAAGTAAATAAGAATAAAAATTAGAGAAATAAGCACGATAATCGTAAGTTTCTTCCGTAGCATCATTATTTCACGTTTTCTTGATTACCGTTATAAACTATTGAGGGCGCCATAAATAATATTGTTGATTGGTTTTTTTATACCTCCATGGTTTGTCAGTATCTTGAGATCGTGGGTTTCAGTCCCACCCAAGCCAACTTGCGAGTATTCCGTACATTTCCACGCTAGGAGGGCAAACTTACACCTATACATTATTAGGTTATTATGTATTTATATGTTGATAATCAAACCAATGGATTTTACTATTTTTATACAGTAATGTTATCGATGTTTATATTAATATTATTGATACGCTTTACATATTGGCATTTATAGGCCTATGTTGATTAATATACTGCTAGACCAATATTTATCTCAATATTATTGAAGCTAATTATTGATGCTTTATCTTTCATTGTATATACTTACGTCTGGGCCTATACGTTTTTAAATGATAGATTGATTGATTTGAAACAGGAAGTACAAGTATTAAACATCACAACAATGATTTATCTTTCAACATTCAATAATTTTATTTCAGCCAATTCAGTAACGTTCAACTATAAAACAATTTAAATAATTACATTATTTATATCATTGATACTTCGTGTTTCGTTGTATATACTTATGTATAGGTCTATATATTTATATTTTTACTTATTTACAAACAATTATTTATTGTAGTAGGCCTATGTCGCATGCAGGCCTAAGCCTAACAATATTGTGAAGTCATCAATGCTTAAATATAAAAATGAATATAATATCAATGCAATATTTACAAACAATTTACAAACAATAATATATAGGCCCTATTCTATATTTATTTTAAATAGTGGGAAGCCAGATTTACATCAATGTTTAAATATTATGAAAGGAAATTACATTAAGAATAAAATATCAGAATTAACATCATTAATTAAATACGATACCATCAAAATATTTATAATACAATTTACATTGTCAAATTATATACCTGTATACGATTCAGTGCTTAAAAAATAGTATGAATACAATGATTAACAATATTGGGTTTACAAACAATTTACATCACATTATTTATCTTTACTGACTGAAGCCTAATTTTGATTACTAATCACCGCGAGAGTTATGGCTGATACATTTGCTGGCTGGTAGATGTGCAGGAGCACTGCGTTGATTCTAAAGTACAACCAATCGTGCGGTGGCTGATCTGCAACCATTTCTTTCCACACGGAGCTGGTCTTCTCTATAGATTAGCTCGACATTGATGGACACAGTGACGACTTCCTCGTAGACCAAAGTGCAAAGCATATAGAATGGAGTCTTAGCTCAAACAACAACCATATTTTAATCATAAGTATTTTAAATTTTGTTTTTTGAAACAAGTGTATATGAAAAAAGTAGTTATTAATTTGTTTTTATCAAATGTTATTTAGATGTAGGCTCTCATATTCTGTCTCTTGTGTACATCTTGTTTTCTATTAAAATGTAATTAATTAACCATTTTCTTACCATCGGTTGCCTGTTAAGGCGGTGATGCCATCCTCAAGATCGTTGAGCAGTGAGGACAGTACAATCTAACGAGAACGATTGCATGTAAAGTCATAATTTGCTGCAGCGCATTGCTATCTGCTTACGAATCCTCAAGACGTTGAAGGATAGGAGCAACATGCTCTACCCGGGAGCGTGGGCAAAGCCATCAGCTGTCTGATTATCTGAATAATAAAAATAAATATAAAAATAAAGTGAATTTAATACTTTCATTAATGATAATGATCTTTATTAAGTAGAATTAATGTTATATTGATGTTTTATTATATATTATTTTATGTTTTTTAAATATGCTGAATAAAAAAAATATATGTACCGTGTAGCAGCGTCAAATCGGTAGGCCCGTTGTAATCCAAATTCTTGAACCTTTCGGAACACAGCCTGTAAAGGTAAGTCAAATATAAAAATAGTATTGTAGTAAAATTTCACATAGGTAAATGAAAATGAAGTTATTTGGGAAAGTTTCTGAATTATACATACCTGTGTGTAATGGAAGAGGCAGCCGGTCATCGTTACACCAGGCAACATTTGACGAACGGCTTGCCACACAGACGACTCATAATCAGTTACTACTTTCTGCAAAGCCATAATACCGCAACATAATCAACTATCTACCTGGAAGACATGACCACGAAGACAAGAGGAACCTGCTTGGTGGTGGTCCCTGACCTGATGAAGCTATGAATGCAGAACAGTTGAAAAAAAAGGGATCCTTTATCAACTTGAACGTGCCGCCCACTTACCTGAAGACGAAAAATAAATATATAGAGAAAAGAAAAATATAATTCAGTTTAATGTCGAAATATAAACAAACAATTTAAACAATCATATTATTTGACATCGATGATATTAAACGAAATAGGCTTTCATCAACAACATACGAATATAGAGAGAGAACAAAAATATAATAGGTCAGTAAAAACTAACCAAACAGTAGATCTTTCAAGTAGACTTAGCATATCGGCAGTTGCAAAGATGATGTGACGGTAGCCATCGACAACATCACCACGAAGGAATCCTGGAGCAATGTTTCCTCGTTAACAGCAAAGGTAAGATTGGCGGTTTGGTTCGGCCGCGACAACTTCCCTTTCAGATTCCAGGGGCGGATCTAGGTTCATGATTTGGGGGGAGGGGGGATGTCAGACTTTTTTTCATAAAAACGCCAAAAAAAATGGGGGTCCGGGGAGTCGTAAGCATTAATCATAGGCTATGCTTACGCCGATTTATTTGAAGGGCGCCGCTTGCTTCGTGAGTACGAAAACGTCTTATTGAGCATGTGCAAATATTTTTTTTTCTGTAGCGCGCACTTGGTGAAGTTTCAAGATGGTAGATGAAGACACTTTGCGTCTCGGTGGCACTTTCACAAGCTATGAAAAATTGTCAGAAGCTCTATCGAATTGGGAGAAAGAAAATCACATAAATTTATATAAACGATCTTCACGTAGCATCGATTCTGCCAAAAAACGTGCACCTAAAAGAAACTTCAACCCCGAATTAAAATTCTATTCAATCTATTACGCCTGCATTCATGGTTCTCACCATGTTAATAATCAGAGCTAAGTTAGTACAGCCCATATTTCGTGGTACAGTTGTTGCACATCGAATCATTTAGTTAGTAAAGAAAAAGAAAGTTATTTTTTAAGAAAGTTTCCTTTCAAACATTTCAGTTGTTAAAAACCTTGGTGCTTAAACCGAAATATACTACAGTGTTTTTGTATATTAATAACAAAATTAGATTGAAACTGTGTCACGCTCTCTTGTAATTATTGTATGCGTACTTGTTCATAATAGGAAAATTAAGAATTTTATAGGGACACGGATCAAGAGATGTTGGAAAGGTCGGGGTGAGGGATCGAGATAAGAGCACCCTAGGGGAAATTCTTGTTTTTGATTTCGCTTTTTAATTATGTAGGCCTACTGTAATGTACAGGACAATGATTTAAAATCAGAATATCACTGCAGCAGGCAGGTCATCTTCAACATTCTACACATCATACATAGATACTTTTGTAGACTTGCCACAAGTCTCTTATTTGTTATTATTTTTCTCATTCTGGACAGCGCCACCAACGAGAAAGTTAATTTAGAGATAGACGATAGAGAATAAGCGACTTGTAAAACACTGAAATCAGGCGCCAGGATGCCAAAAGAATGACGTAATCTTACATTCCGTATTTGGATAAATGGGCGGACCGAAATAAACAATTTCAACCAATCAAATGTTTATATTTTTGGAGCCACGAAACTGAGTCACTCGCGTCGACTAGTTAGCATGACTAAATTTAAATAGTCCTCCGTAATAAAACGAGCCTAAAATATTTAGAATAGACCCTAGTAAGACTAATTTTGGCAATGGCAAAAACAATTAAGCTTAGACTAGATGGCATACCATACAAATACAACAAAACTTTAACTTTCCAGGAAGATGGCTCAGGCCTCGTCTAGATGGAGTCAGGAGTAGTAGGCCTAGCCAAGTAGTAGAGGCTTGGCGTATTTTCAAGTTCTTACAGAGGCCTACATTTTTAACAATATTCTACCCTAAAGGCCTAAATCTGTAGCAGCTAGCGGTGAGAAAGGTTCCTAAGTATAACCTACGGTTATCAGTGAATGTCGTTCTCAGCAGGCCAGAACTATTATACTAACTGTTTTTAAATAATTCAAGTAGGTTGTCAAAAGGGAGCTGGAGCTTGCTCTAGTCGAGACATCCGCATCTTCAATTTTGAAAATTTACGAAGATTGATTAATATGCATGAGGTTAGCCAATCACGTGATTTACAAAATCAGTCACGCATACGATATCCCACATCAAATTTGATGTGGGAAATTGCACGCATGAATGGTTTGCCCAGGCCCTAATTCGAAAAAAAAGAAATCGAGTATGGAACGCCAATTAAATTAGGTATGGCGCGCACTAAGTGCAATAAAGAGTGAGTAACCTAAAATTAGGGCCTGGAACCCAGGCTAGGACTTTTGCTGCGTATGGCACCCCATAGTGCCATACGCAGCAAAAGTCCGTTTCTAGTGTTTTTGTCAAATACATTTTAAACCAGGCTGGTTTTTGATTTACGTTTTGGAATAGAATTTGGAGAAGGCGTTTGATCAAGTCAGACCTACGTTTTGAATTTGAATTACGTTTTAA